TGAAGTCGAAGAATTTGGCAGCGTTTAACATATTGAAGATATTTGAGAGCAAAAATACTTCCAAAAGCGTGAAAATGACTTTGTTTGTAACGGTACAAATGAAGGCCTCAATGGTGAATCTTAGCAGAGATATGTCAAGGGAATCGACTTGAACACAGAGAACAACAACTCTTGCTTACATCCAGTAACATTCACACATTTTCGTCCTAGTGAGACGGAACGTACAGACCAAATGAGTGGTATTCGATTGAGATTAGTGTCCTTCAAAGCGTGAGGCCCTCATCTCACGAGTTTAGGCTGGTAGTCCTTCGCGTATGAGTGGTCGGTTATATTTCCAGGTTTAATTTCCGACTGACGGACGTTTACCTGCCAGACTTTGTCAGTCACCACCCACTCCATGTTCCGCTTACACACAATCATAACCTCAATGTCTTATCTTGCCTCTATATCTTAGTCAATAATCTAACACCACGTTTGTTCGATTAATCTCCGACTCAGAAGCAAGATAAGTTGATGAGTGTCAATGATCGGAGTTCACCAGAACATCAGTTGGTTCACATTTATCATTGTAAATGATGGAAGAATCGTCAACATACATGTGCATGGGTGAAGAATGTCATCAATGATTTCAAATGTTAATTATCCAATCATTCTGATGAAATTGTGTACAGCTAGCGGGTTCACATGTAGCGTATTAACTATTGTATTTTGTGTGTCTATCTTCGCTTCGTTATTGTTTACAGGAAATTGAAATTGGATCGAGGTTGTAGCGACATATAATAGATCACAAAGGAATTTAAATGGAGAGAGCATGAATGAAGATGTAATTTGAGCTGCGTGGAGAATCACCGGGAAGATGAATAGGCTGGAGAAAACTCAACGATTACGAATGCGTGTTTAAACTGACAAACAGGTGTGACAGATAACAGATTCTCACTTCGTCGAATCTACACCAAACACATGAAGTAGGAATGAATCAACACGAATACCAGAGATAAGGGAAATGTAGGATAATTAATAATGTAAAAATCTAACTGAAGAGGTTAAGTCATGTGAGTGTCTGCCTTGATATGAACATTTGTACGATAAGCAGTCCACGAAACGTCATCAGAAAACATACTGTATCATTGTGTGATTTCATCAAAAATCAAATCCACTCCATCATAATGTCAAAGTTCCAAAATTATTTCGCTAATCAGGCAGTCAACTTCACATCATCTACACAGAATAAATGCTGTTGGTTTCCTCGATGAGGATATTTGTTCGGAGTGGATTAAAACTGAGTGATATCACGCATTCGACACAAAAACTGACTTCAATTCATTGCATCCGAAGGGTCATTACGTGTCATCACTATTGAACGCTGTTTGAGAATGTTGCTATTACTACGACAAAATAATGAGCCACAAGTTGAAATCGAGATTAAATTTTGCTGTATTACACTACAACACATGTATTGGTGTGAATTTTTACTATACCTGAGCTAGTATTTAGTGATCCTCAGGTATAATTAAAAGAACACTGAGAAAGTGCAGACTATTTCAGTCTCCTCGCACTATCCTTTCAACCCCGGTGATACTCAACAAGATGGCGTGGTTCCTTAATTTCGCATGTGTGCATGTACGTGTGGTCTTGTTTCGTATACAGGTGAGGAATTCACACACATCAGCATGAAAGTGCCACCTGAAGTGCCTCAGTTACAAACTAACAGATTTCTCAACGAAATTCCTGTCAATGTTCTCACACAAGCAACTTGTGTGAAATGGAACGAAATTCACACAATCAGCTAATCTGATAAGTGATAGGTTTTACTTTACTAAAGTTGCGCGGATAGTGCATGGAGATTGAAGTAGTGAACACTTTCTAAGTGTTTTTATTTATACCTGAGGATCACTAAATACTAGCTCAGGTATAGTAAAAATTCACACCAATACATGTGTTGTAGTGTAATACAGCAAAATTTAATCTCGATTTCAACTTGTGGCTCATTATTTTGTCGTAGTAATAGCAACATTCTCAAACAGCGTTCAATAGTGATGACACGTAATGACCCTTCGGATGCAATGAATTGAAGTCAGTTTTTGTGTCGAATGCGTGATATCACTCAGTTTTAATCCACTCCGAACAAATATCCTCATCGAGGAAACCAACAGCATTTATTCTGTGTAGATGATGTGAAGTTGAATTGTGAGAGTAGATGAATGTGATCCTGTTCAGGGCCTTGAAGTTTGTCTATCTTATTCTTACAGCGATTGCGGATTCAAGTGTTGATGTTATATATATGAACCCGAGTCATCCGTTGAAAACATTGTGCATTAGTTCCACTAAAATATCAAAAGAATACTAGTGTTTCGCAGACTATACAACGTCTTGTGATCGTACCTAACTGAGGCAATATTTCGTCGGAGTTGCGAAAGATCCTGGACATTCGTGTCATCCATTTGAGTACATCAAAAAGCGTCAAATAGACTAGTCATAAGGCATGCAACAGTAGAAATGAAGGCCTCAATAGTGAAGCTTAGGAGAGATATGTCAAGGGAATCGACTTGAACGCATAGATTCACAACTATTTGCTTTCGACTGTCAGCAATGGAATTCTAATTTTTTTCCACATGTTTTAGGAGTTCTACACGGCAATATTCCTCATTTATATGCTTTGTTCAATCCTTGTATGGGTGATTTGATTAAGATGTTGACCTTGTCTCGAAAGGATTTTTATTCACTTCATTATAGATAAGATTTTATTTTGATAAATCATTCAGTCTTACAAAGTTTTATGAAATGATAATTTTCATCGTCCTGCCTATGCACAGTAAATTGCTCCCTCGTATCTTAACTTTTGACAGCAACACTCATTGGGTTTGTGTGAGTTTTGGGTCTTGTGTTCAGGGCTGTTTAGATGGAGTACACTGTGATTATCTTCATTGTTGAGAGTGTTTTTGCTGAGATTAGAATTCTCATGATAATTTTTCAACGTGTTGTACTTAAAGGAAAAGAAGAAGTTGGTTTTCATGTCTGGTCACATTATCAGACATGAATGACTTAATGTACAGATTGTATAACAACCAGATGGCAACTCATTTGAGCAAACTGGCTAACTGTTCGACTGAAATGTATTGCTCATAATCATATTTATTGTCAATTCTTTACCATTTGTAGTGGAGGCAGAAAGATATTCAGGGGAGCAGCTTAGTTATTCAGCCCTCCTTACTGCACATCTTCTGTTACATTAGATTTCAATGATGTCTTATATTTTCTCATTCTGTTTTATGATAATATGTGACCGCAGATAGTTTGGCTATTTTCTAAATTCTCCAGATTATTTAGGTCAAGTAGGTTTTCGTGCTCCGTTAGTCTAAGTGAACATGGCCTACTTCTTCACCTAAGCATTTGACATTTCATTAATTGCACAGTTTGGTAGTTTATATCATTTTATTCAATCAACTCCACAGGATGCTTTAGCACACATACTGTACCGCGAGGTGTGTTTTCCAATTTCAGTGCCTTTTCCTGCCTTGTGAGGAATTCTTTGTACGGTTTATGACATCCTCTGCTCGAATAACATAACCACAGATGTTTAAATTCCCTATTTTTTGTATTGTCGTATGCGTCAGTGGCACAGTGGTTAGGACTCTCGCCGACCATGCACATAGCCCGAGGTTCGAACTCCTGCCGACGCACACCTGATATCTATGGTCGGCCTGCAAAATTTAGGATACCGATATCCATGCTGAAAATGCCATGCTTGTACCAAAAATACAGCGTGGAATCAAGCTGTAATCAAAAATAAAATAATAATTAGAGTCTCTGTAATTAATCTCCTTCCTAACGATTACTCTTATATGTATTTTTGCAATTTTTCATATAGTTTCTCATTATTTTATCGGAAGCAATATTTAACGTTGAAGGTTGCTTAATATTCCACTGGATTTACTTCCCGAATGAATTTCATATATTGGTCGGAATCTATACCTAATGTAAATTCTGGTGTTTGACTCCTCAGTTTCTAGTTTTATTGATGGAAGTTCTCTTTCATATCATGAATCAAGTTTCGAAGTTGTCTACTCACAGTTTATACGATAATGGACAACAAATTATATTCGAAATTATATTCATGCATTGAATTATACGGCTTCACTCTGTGATATATCCAAATCTGTGAAAGAAATAGAGGTTTTGTTTATGAATGGTAGTCTTGCAAGCATCGCTCTCATTCTCCTTATTTTTATGAGTTGAGCCACTGATTCCGCATTACTTTTAATGTTTTTGCGAATGTAAACATCATCAAACCATTCTGGATCTACGTCTATAAATAAGCTGTGGATGACACCTTATGAATGAAAGAAATGAAGAGTTGAGACTGAATGGAAGATTGAAATGAGATTTCTCATACCATGAAATCTCAGTTGTTTATGTGCTGTTTACGAGATCTGGTACAAAACGAGAAACGAATCTCGGGAGAGATATTGTGAAATTCGGCAGAAGTAAGTAGAACCAGCAAACATGGCATCACAGCACCTGAACGGTGAAGATATCATAAGAATTACTCAAAGTTCCTCAGAGAATGACTGAGGGTCACCAGCTCAACGATTTGCTTAGTTGTGTGGATTGTCAGCATGTCAAATTATTAGTTTTACATATGATACAAACAAGCAAGAGGCATAACACGCAGCCTGTTCATGGGAGTAACAGCGCATATTTAACTCAACTCTATTTTGAATTCTGTGAACATCGTCTTAATTGAATAAACTATAACCAGTTTGATCACAGATTAGATTAAACTACTGTTTTTTCACATTATACTCTCAGAGTGTAGAATGAATAAAACAAAGTTCATTATCAACTTTGAATCTGTTTAAAATACTCAGAACACATCGCTTACAACGTAATGATCTCACAAAACGTCTGTGCAGATATTTGTAAAAAATCTTAATCAACTTTGGCTTGTTTTTAAAAATTTGACTGTTTTATGAGTTCATATACTTTTTAAACAAACTATGGTACTTTCTTGAGACAAAACATGAAAAGCACTAGTAGCAGAATATATGTTCAACCTTTGATTGGTAATAATAAACATTTCAACATAAGTGGCAAGAATACTACAAATCGATTTATGTGGTATGATTTGAATATATTTAAATAGTCGTGAAATCTGTATACGTACCTAACACCTACTTCTGTGTAACTTTATTCTGAAGTAAGCAATTCTATTTTCATCATTTTTTGTGAAATTTATTTTGAGTTCATTTCCTGAATTCACCACATATGCATATTCTGTCTCTTGTAATGTTGATGAATAGAGATGGGCACCCAGGAAAATGTAGGTCTCAGGTGATGTGAACATATTCTTATTATCATATATATCTATGAACCGAATTCTCTATACATATTTATGTAATAACAGGATTCACTAGACAGAAAGATACTCAGTACAAGCAAGATTAGCTATCAACGGTTTTAAAATATTCAGCGTTTCCGTTTCACCTCTTTAAATAAACACACTGTGAATCAAACAATGGGGTTAAAAATTCAAGGCAAATTTTCCCGTCCCTAGAAATAGCTCTTCCACCTGTGAAGCTACGGTAAAATAGGAATCCCATATTTGTCATAAATCATTCAGACAGAAGCTCAGACTGTTCACCCTCTCTGATACCATTTAATAATCTAGTGTATGACATTCATCACGCGTCGGTGGCGTAGCGGTTAGGACGCTCGCTGACCATGCACATGGTCCGGGGTTTGATCCCCAGCCGGCGTACTCCTTTACCTCGCTAAGACCAAAATAATCCTGGTAAAGAGGAAAGGTTGGGCATGAGACTAGCAACCTTATCCTGTAAAATAAACACTGCTACAGAAACTTCAAGCCACTATCTTGAAGCCCTATGTTCCACTGTGAACGAGAAGGAAAAACAATGACATTCGTCAAAAACACGTAAGTACAATGATGGATGAATATTGAGTGTTGAAACAAAAATTTGGTTTTGATCGTTAATGCTGAATACATTTTTGATTCTTTGCACAGGTGAAATGTTTCCATTCCATCTTCACAGCACTGCACCATTCATTTGCTTGTAAGTTTTCCACTCTATTATCCTGGATTTGAACAAAACTTTTGTACTAATATGAAATAATAATTGAAAAATACCGACTGAAAACTTAAGAATTTATAATCACCATTCTTAGAAGGCATGCTCGAATAATTCAATCCTAGTGCTGACTTCAGTTTTCAGATAATTTCACTGTTTGAGTATTCACTCATCTAGTGAGATGTAGAACACTGTTCTATTTCCGAAACAGTCATGCATTCTTAGAGTCAAAATAAGTGACCTGTTCATAAAGAAATCTGCATAACTACCAAATTTCATATATTTGTGTGCACAAGTAGACTGATAATCAAGGCCTAGTCTATAACATAGCTCGATGAAATTCGACCCAGAACAATTTATTGACCCTACTGAATATCTGAAGAATTCATCTCTCAATACTGCTACAGAATAGCGTCAGTAAGAAATTACATAAAACTGATTCATCAAAGATTTATCAAAATACTGGGTACGAATGGCCGCTTAGATTGATTCTGTAAATGCTGTTGATATACTCTAAGTTTAAAGGCTTTATTATGTGGCCTTTATCTACTTGTTCAGACGACATATTCAGCGATAAACTCAGTATAATATAGACTTTGGATTCTACATGAGTTATGAAGGCATCTGTCTCCATGAACTTTACTGAAAACTGTTGGCTTCAGACTGTTATTATTCCTTTGGGTTCCGAGTGGAACGCAGGGGCTGTTCTATTTGGTGCTGTTTTTTAGAGGTGGGTCCACGACCGATCGTAATCTCTCCTCTAATACATCTCGCAACATCTCCTCCATGTCACCCTCTGACGACTCACTGATCGGTTCCCAATGTCATTCCACTCGAGGGCCTGGTGCACGATTCTATTCCATTGTTTCCTCAACATGTGTCTTCATCATCTCAAATGTTTTACATTAATTTGTGAAACTTTGTCCGACTTTCTAGTTGATAGGTTTTCGCTGACCACCCATTTTTATCTTTATTAGGAATCGCGAAAAATACCTATTTATTATTAATTAAAAACACAGTCTTTTTGTTCAGCGTAGAAATTTCTTTTCAACGACTTCATTTTCAAGCTGTACATTCGTATTTATATTTCAGAAAAAGGTTATTAAATGGCACTAAATAATTGCTCAGTCAATGTACGTATATATGTGATAAGAATAACGATAATTACAATGTTATAAGTGGAAGAGTTGAAGTGGATAAATCTTTAATACTTCTTTAGTTTAGCGATGGCGCTATCCATCAATATTTTAATCTTTCTGTATTTATCCTGCTTGTGATATTGGGCCATAATTTTGCTAGACTTACTCACAACCTTCTTTTTTCTGTGATTTTGATCAGGGTGGATAACTAGTGGACCGAAAATCTAGTTGTTGGATCCTATTAGACAAATATGTTATAATAAAATGCCTGCTTTTAAACATACACTTCTGCGCGATGTGTTGGTGGACAGTAAATTTCGCCTGAATTGTCATCAGTACATAATACAGTGTCATTGCCAGCTTTTGTATCCACCCGTGTCAATATGACTGTGTGATACTTTGAATCAGCGTGTTAGAGTGCCCACTAACCACAAACACTGAGTCGAGTATCGGAGCAATATCCTACCAACTCCTAAATTCACTAAGCTGGTAGTGACTCCGGTAAAGAAAGAATGCTGAGAGAGGGGCTGATAACTTAACTCCATGACACAGTAACTGAAAATTTGAAGTTCCGTGCTTAGAGCTCAACATTTCACTTTCAATCCAAAAAAAGAAAACGATAATAGTATTACTTTGTTGCCATTTCACGTTTCAATATGATCTTCCTTATATTCACATTTTAGAGGAGTGATCGGCCTATTTCTCCTATTATTCTTCATATTGAGAAATACATTCTCAGTAGCACTGTTCCTTATGGCGCTCATTGTAAGTTTTTTAGCAGCCTTACTATTATGATCTAAATTTATTCAATGCTATTCATTTGTTGTCGATGGTACGATTCACCCGGAATTCCATAACATTTTTATAAGTTTTGGAAGAGAATGTGATTAAGAGATTGAATTGAGTTAAGATATTTCATTCTGATGAAGCTACCTAAGAAAAGTCTTTACGTATAGCTATGCATCAAAATTACAGCATTAAGCAGCAGTTTATGGTCTGTATCGCCAATTTATATGGGGCTGTTTTGACTGAAACGCAGTTTGCTACAGTAGGAGAAAAAGATTTTAAATGTCCTAGTGAAGTTATTTGCTTTCCAGGTTTCAGTCATATCATGATTATAAGGGCAAAGGCAGTGTGCGGGTTTACTTGACGCCGACCTCAAAGCACGTTAAGGGAAATGTGACTGAAATTTGTTGTTCTGATTCCAGTGTACTTCACTACGAAAATACTCAACCGAAATAAGTGTCATTATAAGGCAAGCTTGGCATTTTATTTCCTCTAAAAGTCAGTTCAACCATCTGGGTGAAAAATGTTACCTCTTGCTATTAGGTACATAAATTTCTCCAGAGTATTTTCTATGCATATAATGTATGAGTGAATCTAATTTTTGATGTTTATGTAAACACCTTCAATTTGGTTTGTTGTTAGATTTCATTGTGTACCGTGAATATCTGTCTAGTGTGTTGCTTAGAATGGAAATCATACTGTCACCTATTAATTGGCTTCTGTGCTTTCGAAGATTTCATAACAATCATCTTATGCACCATGAAGAGAAGGTTCAAGAAACAAGTGATTGTTGCAATGTTAGTTTTAGCTGTGATGTGTTGTATAACAGGCGCAGTATTGTACTTCTTAAAAATGAATAACGTAAGTTTATTTAAAAAGTCCAGTGTGACATGAATCTCTAGATTTATTCGTTTGTTCATCTAGAAAAAATTTATCGAGAAAGGAAGAAATCCGTTGACAAATTAGTTAGCCATTTGCTCAAGTCCAACCTTAAGGCTTAAACCATACAAAACAAAGTGGCTTCAATAGTATATATAGCAGAGACCTCTAGAACAGTCAGTATAATCTATAAATTTAGCAACAAACACAATGTCTTATCTTGAATGATTATCTGTTAAAGCAGTAAACATATTTTGGTTTAGGTTCATATATATATATATATATATATATATATATATATATATATATATCACCGATGATATTCTTAATTGTGTTGTGCTGGATTGTGCGTCAGAATGTCAGGGGCGTGGAGTCAGCAGTACTATGGACAACCAATAAGACGATTCTAGAACATTTGCATTTGGCAGATGATATCTATCTAATGTCACACGAACTCGAAGACTTCCAAGCAAAAACCAACAAAAAGACTGAAGAGGCAGTCAGTGGGCAAAGCCCTCCATGTGAGCACTGAGCAGATGTAGGTGGAGAAGATAACCACCCAACAACAGCAACAATCAGCACCAATCACCATCAACGTGAGAGATTTATCAGAGGTTACTTCCTTCACTTGTTTGGAAAGCATCATTTCAATTACAGGCAGAACGTACGAAGTTGTCCTATTCAGGACAGACAGGGGGAGATACGCCTTCATCAACATGAAACCATGTTCAAAATATTCCACACTCAGCTTAAGAAACAAGATTGAATCTTCTAACATTAATGTGAAGTCGGTTCTTCTATGCGGGTCAGAAACTTGCAATACGTGACATGGAGAGGATTTCTAACAGGTGGTAGACTTTCATCATTAGCTGCTTTCTGTGGTTGCATAATGCAGATCATGTGGCCAGAAGGATAAGCAACAAGAAACTATCGGAACATACCAACCAAAAGCTTATCGCTCAACGAACATGTGGAAGACAATGGAGATGGATCGGGCATACATTTAGGAGGCCGCCATGTGACAGCGCACCCCAAGCCCTCGAGTGAAATCGCAACAGCAACCGACGAAGGGGTTATCCTGGGGTGACGTGGAGGGGTTCGTGTGAAGGAAAGATTAGGGAGTTTGATCAGTCGTGGACCTAGGTGAAGAGGATGACAGAAAACAGAACAAAGTGAAGTGATGTTGTTGAAGCCATATATTCCACTTGAAGCGCAAAGGAATAATAATTATATTAGAATAATCATGTCAATGTTGACTTTAATTTTGTAAAAGAATCTGTCTTCTGAGTAACGTTTCCTTCTTATCGAAATATTTTATGAATTAGGGTTATAAACGTCCTTTGAGTCATATGGCTTACTCGAATCCTTCCTTCAGAAACAAAAATACATTAAGAAGATATTTTAATTCGGAAAATAGTGCGATAACTAATAATCTTGATGCGCTGATATATAAATGGCCATTTTTCTAGTCCCTACTCCAGCATTATAACAAGACACTCCATCCTATTCTGGACATAATCATTAGTCCAGCTGTAGTGGCTTTGCCAGTTGATAATGTTAACTGAAAATGCATATATTTGAACTTAGATAATCAATGTTTTTGATAACGATTGATGAGAACAGTAAATTTCACTTATACTATTACATTTCAGGATCTTTATCGTGCATTAGCAGGTGGCATCTGGAATACTGCTGTATGTGTGGTGAGTTGAGATTAGTTTCCATTTGCTAAGTATAAAAACAAATCTCAAAAAATTTCGAATATTTCCCGTCGGTGAATCAGTGTCATCACACTTTAAACATCGTTCCCTATTAGATACATTTATTTTAAATATCACACAGTGGTTCAGTATGAATATATGGAAACGTGCTCAGCACATATTATCACTCTTAGTCATGTCAAATTAGTTACATGGTTTCTTAGTTCATCTGAGGGAAATTTTCTCTCTTTCTCCCTCTTCAACTTCCCCCAGATGATACCACTTAACATGTGAACTGTGTGAATAAATTGATATGACTATGAACAATAATGCTCGAAAAGTCATCCATGTACGAATACTGCAACACTGTGTGATGTTTAAAATAGACTTGTCTAACCCCTTCTAGTTTATTTGCTCAATAGTTTTCAAGCCTGCACCAAATGCGAATAAAAAGGGAGTGTTATGCGTATGGCCAGCGACTTTACAATATAAAACCAATCAAACTGCTATGAAAATGCAGACAATACTAAAAATATATAAAAATCATTCTTCGCTGGAATCGTAGAGGAGGAATTACACAGAGGGCTGGCGAAAGCCTTTGGGAATCCAGTCAGCTTATGTGTCCTCTGTATCTCTGTGAAAACAAGAATAAGAACGGGGATATTGAAAGAGCATAAAATGAGAAGGCTGCCTAGGTATCCAATGAAATGTGAAGAAATGGCATAGAAGTTCTGTTTATCTGCAAGAGCGAGTGCAGTTGATGTTGACCAACTGGAGTTTCGGTAATTTACTCTTCACTCAGATGACGACCACAGTTAAAGTGAGGCAGTGGGTGCCTATCATTATGTCGCCAGTGGCCTCAAACTCCATAATGCAGTGATAACCAATTGCATCAAGAATCATGATAGCACGACGCAGCTCAAAGGAAAGAAAAGAAGGTCACAGTGTCCCAAAGCTGTAAACGACGTGGAAAAAGTGAAGAAGAAAGATTTTTATAGAGATTTTCAAACAGTAATGGACGACGTACCAAATAGTGACATCAGAATCCTTTTGGGCGAAATGAATGCTGATCGAACTGGGAGCAGAGAATACAGGAAGAGTACTCATCATGGGTTGAGAGATTCTGACTCAGTGAAATGAATGAGAACGAAGAATTATTCGCAGACTTATGTACCTGCCGTGGTTAGGTGACTGGAGACTTTGCAACAGCATAATGATATAAACAAAACAAAGTGGGCCTCGTCTGATGGACACAACACAAACCAGATGGATTTCATCTCAATACTGCTCAAAGAAGTGGAGACGCAGCCATTCGGATGTAGAGAGAGCGGAGAAAAGGGACAAATCCGTGCTCAGATCATCATCTAGAAACCGTCAAGTTCAAATAGAAATCTTTCTGAATAACTGGAAAGAGGCTACGATTCATGTTCAACACTAATAAGCGGATGAATAAAACTTTAAAGGATGCATTCACCGACAATATCGCGCTAAAGTGAGAAGCAGTACATTGATGAAACCTGTAGAAGATGTTTAAAAGTAGCTACTTATCGAGTAATGGCTCTCAACAGAAACTTGGAACCTACTGGAAGAGAGGGGGATTGTGAACACAGGAGATGACTCAATGTAAAGATTGATAACAGAAAGAGAAGCTGAGTTCAATGTTCACTTCCCTGAATGAAGAAGTGAAGAACTGCGCTAGGAAATACAATGGACAATTCTACGACCGACCGGCCCGGGAATGAAGCAGAGCAGGCATGCACCTAACGCAAGAGACCTCAGCACACCATATCAGATGACCAAGTCTCTATTGAGAAGACATAGATGCAGATAAAACCTATAAAATATGCGTACGGGAAGCTGACCACGAAGGAATGGATATAAATAAAACAATAATCTGATCACTTCATATAGCTCGTGAGTAGATCACCACCGGCGAATCAGTCACAAATACTACCAACAGCACGCAAAGAACTTCCAGTGGACAACAACCCCACAACGAAAGAAATCCGGGATGAGATCGAGCTGCAAACGTCCAGTTGGGAAGGTAGCTGGAACACACAGAATGCTTCTAAAAGCACTGAAAAAAGAGACCCAGAGACTACGGCAGATTTTATCATTACAAACAGTTTGGCAGGAAAGAAATTTTTCATCGACTGTTAAAGAGACTTTCATGTGAACCTACCAAAAAGGATTACTTAGGCCTATGCAAGAATTTACATGGAATAGTGCTCTTGTGCATGTCAAGTAAAATACTATGTCGCGTCATCCCGGAGAGAATAAAAAAAACTGGATACAGAAAACGTTTTTTCGGAAAGGCAAATCAACCAACTGCAACTCTGCTGACCATCACTGAACACAGCAGAGAATGGCAGTCAAACTTCTTTCCATCTCAGCTTCATAGACTTTAAGAAGACCTTTGACGAGGTTGACTGCGAATTGTTTTGGTAAGTGCTTTGACTAGACGGTTTGCGGTACTCTAAATCTGTATCAAACTCATTCAATAGCTACATGAAGGATATCACACATCGAGCAGATGAGACGTTCTGGTTAATCATGTGCCCAGCTGAAGAGGACAGCAGGAAATAGAACAGAGTGGAGATGTGTTGTTGAGGCCAAGTGTTCTACTAGCAACCTCAAGTGAACAATAAGAATATTGCACAATCCCTTCACTTATAAAGACATTTAACTAAACCTTTGTTTACGGATTTTGAATAGGATACGTTATAGTCTAAGTATTTATAGGTGTGTGTCTACTGAAGTTTGACCAACTGAGGTGTGAATTTTATTACGTTTACTATTGAGTTTATTTGTGTGAGAAACGGACAGATGTGTACAGATTTCGACATATTTCACATCAAGTACAAATTTTCTTCAGAATGTTTTGTGATTTTATTTTGTTAGGATAAAACGTTGTTCAACTGATTAAAGCTGTAAACATTCTCCTTGACATGGTGCTTTCTTTCTTGTAGGTGGCTTTGGTGATGATGGATACTGTTAAATGAGTTTTATGTCACTTGGCTATGTTACGACCTCTCTTCCAATAGACATCGGAATTTATGTGTTCTGGTGATATAAATGTCGAACTGTGCATAGTTCAGATTGTTGTAACAAAATTCACATGTCACATTTTTAATAAAATCCATGGTTTTGAATGAGATCTACCTGTTTTATTTGACTATTTTATATGACTAGTCTCATGGAAGGATAAATCCTTTAAGAATTCTCAGCGATATTTAAATGGATGCTTGCCTTTTATTACACATAAATGCCCGACAATTATATGGACACATTTTCAAACAAATCATCTGTGTGGTGCTATCCATCTTTCCATTTTTCGTCCTAATTAATTACTCGATTCCTTTATTTGATATTTCATTTGTGTAAAATACAACTCCGTCCCAGACTCTCTTCCCATCTGAAGTCTTTTTAATTTCATTTCGTTTGTCAGTACTTACACATTAGGTAGAGTACTGCTAAGCTTATAAAGCGGTGAAGTTTTTTGTCAGTGTGATTATTTTGATGTCTACCATAAGTCTAATCTAACACCTCCAGACTAAACCAGAATTTGACCTGGTCACAACAGCCCCCCAACCCCTCATGATATAAGGAAGTCACCATAAATGTGATAAGCAATTTCATTATGTAAACACACACTGCTTTTATAGTTATATACTGTTATCAAATCTGACATTCCACACCTTGTTTGTTACCTTTATTATTTGACCGATTTGACAACACGAAAACGACCCCATGCTGAAATACAATGAAAAAGTTGTTATATATAAACTGGGGTCTTATAAATTCTGGCCTAATAATACTTTGATAAAGCTACCAGCAGCAAAAAGAAAACGTCAATAAGAACAAAGTTGGTTTGATTTTGATTCTTTGGGAAATACAGGTGATTTTATTATAATGTATTTTAGAAGCTGTTAGTGTGAGTTGATGCTCACAATTGAATCCACAGATACCAGTGTACATAGCCGGAAATAGAGCAGTTTGTCTGACTTGTGATATCTTTACATTGAATTATAATTTACAGTGTTCATGGTGTATTTTACGTCATTGTTGAGATATGTGGCTTACTGTGATTGGTTAGTTAATCTGAACTCACTAACTATTGCAAACTTACCAGTCGAGTTTTCATTGCAATTCGTGTCCTACTGATAATTAAGGCAAAATGACGTTAACATGAAGACTGTTGACGCAGTGTTGACAACTCCGGAATATTTTACGTATGTGTCAGGAATACTTTACATTCATCCGATACATAAGTCTAATTGTTTCTTCAATATTTGAAAGTATATTATGTCTTAAGTTGACAAATTGTACAATGAAATTAGAAGTTGATATCATCCACATTACTTATTAAACCACACTCATTGAAAGACTACATATCCTCATAAGTCTTCTGGATAGTTTCCGGCTTAAAAAGGGTGTGGAATATCTCAGAGGATGTGCATACGAATTTAACACCTCATGTGACTAACAGTCGAATCAGTGCTACACAGTTTGTATAAAAACAGTGTTCCAAACAGGCTACTGACTCTGTCCAATCGATTGAAGTTTTTCTTCATAGAATCCTTGGGCAGGTAAATGACACTCCATTCTTGTCATCCGTTGTTAAGTATGCTTGGAATATGAAATTCAAAAACAAGACAGCCCTGGGAACTATTCTGAAGCCATGGATTTCATATGATTCACTAGCCTTCGAAATACCTTATAGAAGGTCACTTGGGAGAAGCATATTTGTCGAAAGACGATGACACAGTTAATCACAGTTACAACACAGAGTCCAGCATAACCTTCATGAAATAGCCTGTACATCTTCATTAAGCTAATGTAGTTCATGAGGGTCCAGAAAGCAGTGATTTCACAAAATAAACACGGAGACTCGTTGAAACGCATGCTTCTCTCCGGGCTTTCGGGTATGTTTTATGTCACAGTGTGTGCTTAAAAAGAGGCTTCACGAGTAGTATTCAACCAGGAGACTTCCATTTTTTAAATTTTCACAGTTAATACACCCTGAATGTTATGAATTCTACGATGGAATCCTCATCTGTTGACACCACAACACTTGTTCCTTGTACAAATCATTCTTTATAAAGTGTGAGACTCAGGGTGGTTACATAACTGTAGAAATAGAAATGCATGCAATACTCATATCAGCTCAGTTAAGAATTCAGGCAAATATATTCCCCTCAAGAACATGTAGAATGTGGTCAAAAGTGAAGATTCACTGCAAAACATCACAGTTTATTCAAAACTGTAAATGTCAACTGTCGGCCATTCAGTCAGTATCATGCACAATATGATAAATATACTAACAGGGATAACGAAATACAGTTCAATTCGGAAGACACCATGTAACATCACACTGTGATATCCAGCTGATTTGAGAAAGCTAGTAAAAAGTACAGCTACCTGAAACACAAAAAAAGCATTTATGAAAACATTTAAATGCAGAGATTCAATTACATACATGACCCGCCCTTTTCATAATAATTCGTGATCTATATTTGTGAATGAAAGTAGCATCGAAATCGACGTGAAATGTGATTGGAGAATTTTTCATGATGTTGTCTAAATTACGAAGCTGTTTAAGAAACGTACGCTCACTTAAAACCGGTTGTTGGATATTCAAAACAAGTATGAACTTACCACAACTAAGGCAGTGTTCCAGAGCACACCAGCAAGTGTATGAAGAAGTTCCTGAAATACAATGAATTAAATTTCATTCAGTATGTCAACTAAAACTTATAACAAATGAACTGCATGATTCAATTCGTAGGATAAAGTGATAAAATTGAAATCAGTCAAATGAGTTTATATCAGAGAACGCGCTTCTCTACAGTTTCATAGCAGCTTCAAATTCCTTGATATTACGTAATAGGATATTGTTTCATTAAAAACGTTTCACATCAGATATGTATGGCACTGTATCACGAACAGCTGAATATATTGAATTTTCGAATAAATGAACGAGTATTCAGTATTTGAGTTCTCATTCTCTACAAATGCATGCATCCCTGACCTGTAGAATATACATATAATTAAACGATCCCAACTAAATACAGGTAGTGGTCTTATTAAATTTATCCAAGAAATTGCAGTGAATATTTTAAAATACAACAGTGCACTTGATATTTTAATTTATTTACGTCAGTTCGCCCCATAAAACCTGATTGCTGGGAAGCGGGTGACAACCCATTTCATCACTCATTGAATCATTCACCCACTCACTCACTCACTCATTGAATCAGGCATCCACTCAGACAATCAGTCAGTCAGACAGTCAGTCAGTCGGGAAGTCAGTGAGTGAGTGAAGCAGTCACCTGATCACACAGTGACATGCATTCGAGGCGAGTGATATTGTCAATCGGCCGGCTAATGGGATGGTGGACGAATGCAGAGTTGAAGAAAGGAAGGGAGGACGGTTGGAAGGTAGTCATAAAGAATGAATGAACGAATAAATAAATGCATAAATAAATAAATAAATGAGTGAATGTGGTATCTTGTTGCTTTATTTTCAGCTATCGCAGGTCCAGTTCCAGAACCACCCGCCGCTGCAGAAAACAGTGGTTGTCCTGGCTGTCCCGGTGGATGCCCTAATTGCCCTAGGTGTTGTGAATGCCGCGGATGTCGAGGTGGAAAGTGTCCAGGAGGCTGCTGCAGAGGCTGTCGAAGACAATAAACCACAAACACCAAACACTTCATTCATACAAACAAGTCGTCTCTCCACCGTGGACAAATTCTTGTCGTCATCATTTCAAGTCAGCGGGGGACCAATGCAGTGTACTTTTAAATCTCCACTCTCCATACTAAATTATTGATAAATAAAAAAATAAACTCGTATTATCTCAATCATTTCACATTTCAGACGTCTTCTTCTTCTACTTCCGCTTCTTCTTCCTACTCGATGAATAGATAATCAGTCGGTGTGTGTGGCGGTTTTCTCGGCGTTTCTGGTGGTCGAGTCGACGCCGACAGGTCAATTCTCCCACTGACGGAAACTTGCATGCAGCCATCTTGTTGAAATTTCTCCGCCTTTCAATCTGTCAACTTGTTAGTCCTTTTGTTGATTTAATTATTATCTAATATATATTTTCTCGACAAATATTTATCAAAGACTTTCGAATGCTTGATTCCTCCTTTCGTGATAATATCTACTTGTACTTCTTCCTCATCCCTGTGGGCACTTCTTTTCTCCGGTTAAAGACTGAGTTTTTGATTGATTGGATGAATAATTGAGTGAAAATTTTTACTACTTTTTGTTTGATTTGGTGTCTGAATGATTGATTGTGTGATTATATACGTGAGTTTTTGATTGAATGAAACAATGAATGGATGAAGTGATGAATTTTTTGTTGATTATACGTGGAAATGGATACTATTTCTCTCAGCCTCCATACGTGTAGGACTTCTGGTCATCATCGGTTCAGTAATAAGTACTTACTAGTGTCTCCATATTCGTTGGTGGTTCATCTTGCACGTTAGATTTAGTGAGTGTATTGTTATTGTTTAATGCATTTGTGCGAAATTGGATGAAACCATCTTCCACTTATTTATGTCGACTGAAGAATATGGATATGTAAATATCAGTGTTACAATTATTCGGTTAGATTCCACGAAGTGAATGAAAACTAACTCTTGAATGAGCTTGATATGGTTTCGGGACTCTGCAATATTCATTGTTGAAACAGTTTCCAAACAACTTCGCCATCAACGCTGTCCAAGGCCTGTCTAAATCAGTCATGTTTTTATTTTTGTGCAGCTCGCCTAAATCACTGAGCTACCTGAATCACTTACAGCGAAAGGCCTTAGTTCACTTGGAAATTTTGTTTATTCAATCGTCCAGTAATAAATCGCCTGTGAACTACACATGGACCTACATGCTCATTCAAGTGGATGCCAGGTGAAAACTGCGCTACTCTTCAACGAAATGAGGTTGTATTTACGATTATTCCTTTGCTTGTAAATCCCGTATGAAGAGAAAAGTGTATGGCAACTAACTAAATACGCTGAAAATATATCTCACACATTCCTCATCTTGTCTGAAATTAGGCTCCATTGTTATTATTCTTATAATTAAGTTCAACTTGAAATACGGCTGTCAGCAATTGCTCTCTGTCATCATCAATAGTACCATCGACACGATGATGCTGATGCTGATGATGGTGGTTTTGGTGACGATAATGATGGTAATAGTAATGAGAAACACTTGGATTTCATTCTCGCATCATTTTCGTTTGGTGAATTCATGTTGTTCGTGACACAGTTTTGCATGCAGGGAATCTTCTAGTCCTGTTGGATCAATCATTCCATCGTGCATTACTTCGTCAGCTATTGGCTTAGTTAGCTAGCTAGTTAGTTAGCTGGTTAGTTAGACAGTTATTTCGTTTTCAATTTGATAGTTACTCGGTGGACACATATGTCCTACTTCCCACGCTCAGTGGAGTAGTTTGAATTCACATGGATCAATTGGAAGGCGCTCATTAATCT